TAATCCAAGTACATGGCTGAGGTCTGGTGTCTGGTTTTCAGGTCCAAGTCCAAAGACAAGGTCAGTAGCCAAGGCCTTTGACCAGGTTGAGATCTGAGGTATAGTCCAAAGATCAGGTCCAAGGTCTAGGGCTAGGTCTGAGTTCCAGGTTCAAAGTTCAGGTGCAAGGTCGAAGGTCTACTTCCAATGTCCAAATCCAGGCTTTGGTTCAAGGCCCATGACTATTTTTGAGGTTCAAGTTATATCCAGGCTCACATCCAAGGTTGAGGGACAAAGTGCAGGTCAGATTTGAGAGGATGAGGGGAGAATGACCAAAAAGGCAGAGTAGAAAGACCCTGAGCTCACCTCCTCTCACAAGCACAACAAAATCACAACTATTTGCAGAACAACCATCAATAAAAAAGACCAGAACCTATCAGAAAAGATATTCTACAACTAGAGACATAAAGAAGGAACCATTTCAACACAGGTAGGAGGGGCAGACTTGTGATATAATCACATCCCTTACCCCTGGGTGGGCAACCCACAAACTGGAGAACAATTATATTGTAGAGATTCTCCCACAGGAGTGAGAGTTCTGAGCCCCACTTTGGGCTCCCCAGCCTGGGGGGTCCTGTACCAGGAAGATGAGCCCCCAGAAGATTTGGCTTTGAGGACCATCAGGGCTTAATTTCAGGAGTCTTTGGGAAGACTGGGGGAAACAGAGACTTCAGTCATAAAGGGTGCAGCACACAAAATCTCACACTCAAGGGAACCCAGAGCAAAAGCAGTAATCTGACAGGAACCTGGGCCAGACCTACCTGCTGGTCTTGGAGAGTGTCCCAGAGAGGCTGAGGGAGGCGGTGGCTGCAGCTCACCTGGGGGACATAGACACTGGTGGCAGCAATATTGGGGAACATTCTAGTGTGGGAACAATGCTCCTTGGGGCTTCCACCTTGGCTCATTAGCCCCAAGACCTGGCACCGCCCAACAGCCTACAGGCACCAGTGCTGGGAAGCCTCAGGCCAAACAACTAACTAGGCAGGGACAAAGCCCCACCCATTAGCAGACGGGCTGCCTGAAGAGTTCCTGAGCTCACAGCCACCACTAGATACGACCCTGTCCACCAGAGGGCCAAGACCCAGCTCCACCCAGTGGTGGAAGCCTGCACCAGCTTCTAGACCAGCCTCACCCACCAGGGGGCAGACACCAGAGAGAAGAAAACCACAATCCAGGTGCCAAAAGCCACTTGCTTTTCTTCTCTGCAGAGAGGAGGCTGCATAGTTGGGAAGCCCAGGGGTGCTCCTTCTATTCTTTCAGGCTCCCGGGCTTGTACCAGTGCACTCTGCGAACCAGTTGTGCCCCAGCGGTGCAATGGAGCACCCACCCTGGGGGCCTGGCAATTGCTTGGCATTTAAAAAAAATTTCTGGAGGGCTCCGGGAGCATTGTAGGGGTTCGGAAGTGGGTCTCGGAGGCTCCCCCAACCTTGACTGCATTTGTGTGCAGCTGAGTGCGAGGCCAGTGTCCAGTGAGGGACAGGGGTTGCTCGTGTGTGATGTCAGAAGAGAGGCTGGACCGAGGGTGCAAAGTGGGAGGGAGAGGAGGAGCCCGTTTAGGACCGAGATCACAGGATGTTTCCGGCTTTAAATTGAAAGGAGAGGGGTGCCCCTTAACCCTTGTAATAACTGTGGGCTGCAAGGGTTTTCTTAGATTCTGGTATTTAGGCTATTTTCTTTTTTGCATTAAAATAATGCTGCAATAAACATTTGTACATGTCTCTGGGTACACACGTGTGAGAGCTTACCTGTGTATGGGAGCCAGGAGTGTGGTTGCTGTTACAGGAATAAGTCTTCAACTTTATTAAACAAAATCACTCTCTGCACTTCAGAGAAGCATTTTTCTTCTCCATTTTATTCTTTCAGGGTTTGCATTTCACCTCTCCTTCCATTAGTAATTAGGGTATTACTAATGGCCCCAGACCCAGAGAAGGAATCTGCCTTGGCTTCCTTCTATTTGATAGAACCCTGGCAGAAGGGTCTGAGAGGGACCAGAGTGTGCTTGATAAAGTTACAGCAGGTCTCTGGTCCTGCTTAATTTTGAGAGTTGGTGGCATCAGATGTCTGAGGGCCAGTGTTTCAGGGGGCATGAAGCAGTCTTCTCTCTTACTGAAGCAGCTGAGTTACAAATTTTTTCAGATGCTCCTTTTACACTGTTACTGCCAAGATAGCCTTTGCCCAGCTCTGTGTGGCTCCTTGAGGCCTGGAAGTGTTGGGACTTTCCAAGCTTGAGGCACTGGACTCTTTACCAGGCTGGTTTCCCCAGAGCCAAAAAGCTGCAGCCCGCTCATCTGAGGTCCTGCCACCTCTCACCTCCCCAGGGTTCTGCCAGGGATCCTGCACCAGTCCATACCTTGAGGGGTGCCCACCAACATTTTCTTTCTTTTTTGTTTCAGAGACTCTCTCTCTTGAGACAGACAGACAGACACAAACACACACACACACACACACACAAACACACACACACACACACACACACACACACACACACGGACCTCAATGAGCTTAGATTCCCACAAAAGGCACAAAGAGAAGCTATCTCCCAGCATGGATCCCCATGGCTGAACCCAGTACAGAGGGAAGAACGGCCTTCAGGGGCAGCACAATGGCTGGGAGACCACAAACCCTGTCTCCGGTTCCAAGACAGTGAACGGCAGTCCTGAAAACAACCCGAGACTCAACTTCCCAACAATCTTGGAACAATCTTTTCATCTTAACTAGATGAAATTGTACTCATTTATTTCTCTAGGACAATGACGTGACTTTTTGTGCACCCAAGAGTTGAACGGGCCATCCGCATTATACTGTATTATTTTAAAGTTTATTCACAACAACTCTGTGAGGTAGGCAATATGGTTCCCATTTTTCAGGTGGGGAAAGCAAGGCCTAGTGAGGCAAAATAACCTGCCCAAGGGGCAGGGCTGTGACTTGAACGACAGCAGTCCAGATTCCCCAAAGCGCATATTCTAACTTGCCACCCAAACTCCTTGGGCATAGCACAGGACAAAGCTGGGGAAACGCTTACCCAGCTTCCTGTCCATCCATGCCTTCCTGAACTGCCTGACCAACCCCCCATGGTGACCCAGGACAAGTGATGCCAGGAATCTTAGCATCCTGCTTGGGATACACTTCTTATATATCTGAATGCTTTGAATCACTCACTCTGACAAACGTTGCCGCTTTGGTTGCATTTTCTTACCTGCTTTTGTACTTATCCCCTTCACATCAAGCATGTGCTGTTCCTGTTTACCAGCGCCCGTTCTTTTGGGGAAGCCGGGCTCATTGCCCTAGAAACATACCCCAGGACTGAATCTTCCCTTATAACAAACTATGAAGCAGGAGTCATTCAGTATTTTTAAAATCCAGGTCTCTATTTTTCCTGTGCAAACATGAATGTAGGCAAAATTAATAGTCAAAAGGCTTTTTAAAATGTATGCATTTTGATAACACGTTGCTAGTTACATTTTGCTGTTGATATGAGCTTGGATCACACTTTCCTTTAATAGGCCTTTGAAATTCCTTTTAGAAAGTTAAAATGGTCAAATGATCCATAGTAAAAACCAGAAGAGACCCATGTAAGTACAAAATACATACTTGAAAAGGCAGCACCTTTTGGATGAACTACATTAGGGCCAAGTTATCTAGAATATGGATTATATAACAGTGGACCACAGAGACTTCAAAGCAAATGGGGCATCTTGTCTGAGAACAAGAGAGAACAGGAAGAAAGAAGAGGAGAAGGAAGAGAAGAGAAAGAAGGAAGAAGAAGGGGACACAGAAACAGAGAGACTGATGGAAAAGAGGATCAGGAAAACCTGCATACACGGTTTCTCTGCATCAGGAGAGTGACTTGTCTCTGGGCAATTTACAATGGGTATTAAGCAAAGGATGGACCATTAAGGTAATAATTCACAAGCATAGAACCCAAATCTAGAGATATCTTATATAAAATGTTAATGCAATACTACTTACTGGATTAGACAAAAAGAGCTAGGTTCTACACTCTGCACATGTTCAGCTAAGAGCTTTGCCTCAGGATGTAATTCCAAGGGAGAGCAAGGCTTCCTCTTCAGGGGTCAAGGAGCAGTTTGCAAAGACATGGCCTAAGGGTCTCATCTCCTAAAAGTCCTAGTGGTCAGCTTGTTTGGCTTAGGACCCCATTCCAACCTCCAACCTGGGAGCCTTTCCCCTCCACATAACTCTCCCCACCAAGTCAGAACAGGCTGCCCCAGAACCCTGACTCAGGTACCAGGAGAGAGGTTGTCTTTGAACCCCGCTGGCGAGTTAGGAGATGTCTCTTTCCGTAATGGAGATGCTCTTTTCTATGAAACAGATTCCGGTTTCACAGCAGCTGGATGGCAGGGAGCCTGGATTTGCTTCTCAGACTCGAAGTGACCTCAACTGGGGCGACCTGGCTTTATCCCTTGTGCTTGTTGCAGCACCAATGGCCAGGGTTTCTAGGATCCCAAAGAGCACGCGAGGGTACACCAGAGTCAGAAACAAGCCCCAAACTGTCTCGTGTATTGAATCTGAGTTACCATATGTACTTCAGATTCTGTTACATCTCCCTCAGCAGAAGGGGGTGAAGTGAGGGGCAGGAGCGGGTGGGTGACTAAATCATCTTCCACTTATATAAAAAAAAAAAAAAATGAAGCTCAAAAGTCTAAAAATTCCCCGTGGATAAAAATTAAAAGAGTTTTGTGCTCACACTTTCATACTCTTGAGCAGGGGACACCTCACACTTTACAAAGCCCTGCTGCATGCAGTGCTTCTTGTGGAGCTCACAGCAACCTGCCACTTAACTGGGAAAGATGTAAAGAGTCCCATTTTCTAGATGAGGAAACTGAGGCCATGCAGCTCGCAAAGGGTAAGGAAAGCTGGGATTCAACCCTGGCCAAGTCCCACACCGTGCAGCATCACACGGACAGCTGGCTCTGGAAAGCGGGAGACAGACATCTGCGTCTTCACTGTTGTTTGGCATCTGTTTGTGCAGCATCCCCGTCAGGCGGGAGGCCGACCTTTACCTGGTTTTCCAGTTGGCTGAGCCGCTGTTTCATTTTCATCTGGGTGGCACTGTACTCAGCCAGGAGCCGTGCAAACCTGGTCTGCAGGATGTCCAGGGAGGACTCCAGATGCTCCACTTTCTCCTCGATGCCCTGGGGGTCCGCCCCGGCCTTGGCCAGTTCCTCGTCGATCAGGTTGTCCTTCATCAGGATCTGCCGCCCCTTCTCCTCCAGCACCTTCTTGGCCTCAGGGTATTCAGTGAGTGCCTCCATCAGATCGTCCCTGGAGAGGCAGAACAGGTCCGAGTAACCGAGGCTCCTGATGCTCGCCGTCCTGCGGTTCCCCGACTTGCTCCCTTTGATGTTCAAGATGCTGATCTCGCCAAAGTAACTCCCATCGCTGAGGACCACGAACTGGGTGACCCCATCCTCGGCCACCACAGCCAGCTTGCCCTCCTTGATGATGTACATCTCCCTCCCTATGTCCCCCTTCTTGCAGATATAATCCCCGGGGCTGAACACCGCAGGCCGCAGCTTCAGCACCAGCTCCACCAGCAGCCCCGCCTCGCAGTCCTGGAAGATGCGGACCTTCCTCAGAGTGTCCAGGTGCACGCTGATGGCGATCTCGGCCCTCAGCTTGTCGGGGAGGCACTTGAGCACCTCCCTCTCATCCACCGTCTTCTTGTTGGCCCACAGGTAGTCGAACCACCGGATCACCCGTGTCTCCAAGTCCTTGGTCACCTTGCGGAATTGCATGTACTGCTTGACGGAGTCACTCTTGGCCTGGAACTCAGCCTGCGAAGCGTTCATGTGCGAGATCATGGAGCCCATGTTGCCCACAATGGTGGCAAAAATCAGGACACCCACCAGGAAGTCGAGGACCACAAAAAGATACTCCTCATCTTTCACGGGGGGTGGGGTCTCGCCGATGGTGGTCAGGGTCAAGGTAGACCAGTAGAGACTGTAAATGTACTTCCTGGAGAGGCGCCCATACTCTGGGTTTGAGATGTTTGGGTAGACCCAGGAGTCGGTCCCGAAACCAATGAACTTGGAAATGGCAAAGTAGAGGCAGGCATTCCAGTGGATGATGATGAGGATGTACAAGACCAAGTTCCCAATCCTGAACATGTTGGGGTAGTTGGTCCTCGTCTCTGTGCGGTCAAAGAATTCGAAGAGCCGGGCCAACTTTAGTAGGCGGTTGAACCTCAGTTCTGGGTAGTTCATGCCCAGCTTAAAATAAGCCAGGTCCGTGGGGACCAGGGACAACATGTCCAGCTTGAAGTGCAAGGTCTTTGTGTAGTGCTTCCATAGCCGGTTGGCATCCGTGACCAACAAGCCTTGCTCCAGGAAGCCTGATGAAGAAGACAGATCACGTGGGCATCAAAGAGGCCTTTTTATGACCATGGCCTGCAGAAAGGTATCTCAGCTCAAGACCACACAAAACGTGGTTATACATATATAAAAGAAACAACTTCCACAAACCACACATACCATTACTACAGGAAATGCACTCTGGTATTTTCTGTTCAACGATCTAATCTATTTCATTCAACTAAAAACATAGATCAGTTAGGTAAATTTGAATGTGGATTGGGTATTTGAATGGTAGTAAGGAATGCTTATTAAATTTTCAGGGATAAATGGAAGTTATACTTAAAAAATGGGTCCCTAGTTAAGGTTACATGCTAACATGGTTACTGTCTGAGATTTGCCTTAAAAAACTCCATCCAAGAACAGGGAGTGGGAGGATAAATGAAAAAAGATGAGCAAAATGTTGATAACATTTGGAGCTGGGTAAGGGTATGTGGGGATTCATAACACTACTGTCTCAGTTTTGTATATGTTTGAAAATATTAACAATAAAAAATTTGAGGGCTTCCCTGGTGGTGCAGTTGTTAAGAATCTGCCTGTCAATGCAAGGGACATGAGTTCGAGCCCTGGTCTGGGAAGATCCCACATGCCACGGAGCAACTAAGCCCGTGCGCCACAACTACTGAGCCTGCACCACAACTACTGAGCCTGCGCTCTAGAGCCTGTGAGCCACAACTACTGAAGCCTGCACGCCTAGAGCCCATGCTCCGCAACGTGAGAAGCCACCGCAGTGAGAAGCCCATGCACCGCAATGAAGAGTAGTCCCCGCTCGATGCAACTAGACAAAGCCTGCGCATAGCAATGAAGACTGAACACAGCCAAAAATAAATAAATTTATGAAAAAAAATTGAAAACACTGGTCATGACCTAGCAAACTGACTTTACAAGTCACTGATGGCGTATGACCCGTTTTTTTATTTTTTAGTTATTTATATTTATTTATTTTTTAAACTCTATTTATTTGTTTATTTATGGCTGCATTGGGTCTTTGCTGTGGTGCGTGGGCTTCTCATTGCGGTGGCTTCTCTTGTTGTGGAGCACGGGCTCTAGGCGCGCAGACTTCAGTAGTTGCAGCACACAGGCTCAGTAGTTGTGGCTCACAGGCTCTGGAGCGCAGGCTCAGTCGTTGTGGTGCACGGGCTTAGTTGCTCCACGGCACGTGTGATCTTCCTGGACCAGGGCTCAAACCCGTGTCCCCTGCATTGGCAGGCAGATTCTTAACCACTGTGCCACCAAGGGAAGTCCTGCAACCTATCTTTTTAAAACCTTGCCCAGGAGCACAGTGGTTCTCCTTCCTGGTTGCACATTACTGTCACCCAAGGGGCTCTGAAAACACATGAAGCCTGGGACCCACCCTGGTCTGGAGATGGGCTGGACCTTGGGAGTCGTGAAGCGTTATTACTGGTGAAATCCACCAAATAGGCCATGACCTGCCGTCTCCCTTCATCCCTCTCTCCCTTCCTTCCTTTCCCTCCCTCCCTCTTTCTTCCTTTCTTTCTTTCATTTTCAAACATGCAAAAGAGTGGAGAGACTAATGTAACAAATGCTTTTTAGATCTGGGTGAGCAACAGCAACACGCCAAGGGCTCTGTAAGTCACAGAGCTGGACCTGTCCCCAGAGTTTGGTCCCATAGGTCTGGGGCATCTCTAACAACTTTCAGGTGATGCTGCTGGTCCAGGGCCACAGTTGGAGGGCTAGACAGAGGTAGGACTGCCCCCTCTGTGAAAAGCAAACATCAAGTTTGTTGTCACATGTTAGGGACACCTGGTTTCACAGCTCCCCATCCCCTGTTTGTTTGGTTACACTCGTGTTTATTGAGTGCCTAGATCATTACATTGCACTCGTGTGCCTGGGGACTCCTCAACACCTCCTTAATAATCTTGTCTCAATTCTGACGATTTTTTTCTCCTGGAGTATGATCCATGGCCTCTTGGTGTCTGTGCCCACCTGTCCCCCTCTCTCTCCCAGCCTTCTGCTGAATCTTAGATTGCGAAGGACAGTACCAAGCACAAAAAGGGGTGGGGTCAATGTCTGGGTGAGGGCTGCCTGTCCCACCGAAGCCTGATTGAAGCAGGGAGTCCCCCCAACGAGTCAGCCACCCACGGGGCTCTTGCATCTCCATAGGCTCGTGTAACCATGGAGTGGCAGGCCACCAGGACTGGCCAAGTCACCCAGGCAAGCCTCAAGCTGTGTTCTTGAGATCTTCTAAGTTATGATGCAGGGCACTAATTCTGGAGCAGGGGGGGCACCCATCTGGCCTGCTGGGTGGTGACTGTGGCCTTTAGGCTGGCCACTCAGCATCTCTGGGCCCCAGTTTCTAAAGCAGTAAGATGGAGATAATCATGCCTACACTTCTTGTCTTCTGCAGCAGTTCTCATGAGAAAACAAGACGTGCTTGGAATGCTTTGTCCACCATGAAGCCACCCTGAGGTTTTGCTGTGATCCAGTGGTTTTTATATCCACAACCATGGAAGTTTTTAGTTTAAAAATCTTGGAAATGACAAGCAGGGCCTCCACCAGCTTATGTGATGCCTTTGTGCAAATCAGAAAAAGGAGGCCCAAGGAGGCACAGCTTGGAGACTGAGGCATGGGTGGGGCTTTAGCCCCCACTCACAACTAGAGGTGATCTTGTTACCGACTGGGGTCCTTGGACTCTTTAATCAACAGAAATTGATAAGAGTCCAAATGAGGAATTCAGGCCTTTATTGGGACACATGCTGTAGCACAAGGGAGCGAAAACAATAACAGGTGGCCTTGCTTGCTCCCTGAGGGGTGGGGGCGAGCTTGTCCCTTAAAGGATATGTGGGTGGATTGGTGGGTTGGGCTGGAAGGGCGGCTTAGGTGGTCTGCACATGCATGTAGTTATTTTTAGTCCTTTACAGATTCTTTGTGTCCTGTTGCTAGAGCAGATGTTTGTCTAGCGGCAAGTGCAAGCACTCTGGTAGAAGGTCCCAGGTCCCAGCCTGTCTTAATCTGAAGGAAATCATATCCCTCTAGGCCCTGTTTTAGATTTTACTTCTGAAACTAATGTACTTTTAGTATATTACACCTCCTCTAAAAGCCATGGGGTAACATGCCCTGGCTCTTCTCACTGTCCAAGAGGAGGAACTCCAAGGCTACCATTCTGGATCTCCCTGAACCTGCCCTGTGGCCCCCAGGTGGCCCCCGAATCATGCAGTGGGGTCTGCGGCCCTGGCCCCACTCACCCGTCCGGGCTCGGACTAGCACATCGAAGCCATAGAGGAAGTCGGCTGAGTAGTCCAGGACCAGCCAAAGCATCAGGTGCTCAGACTGAAGCTCATCAAAACAGGCCCTAAACAAGTGTGAGAAGGGTCAGGTGTGTAGGTGGGAGGGACCAAGGCGGGCAGCAGCTCTGTGCTAGAAACCTGGGGTCAGCTCATCCCGCTAACAGCCCAGCCCACAGGGATGCACCCCAGCATCAGCATCCCAGCCTCGATGAGGAGACCCAGGCTCTCAGAAGCTTTTCTGTCTCAAGGTCACAGAGCTCTTAAGAAGAGCTGGGACTGACCCCAAAGGGTGGGTCCCATTGCCTCCCAGCAGTAGCGACAAGACTGCTCCCCTCCCCCGGCCGGGGGGCAGTTTATCCAGGCCTCAGATGAAGGGGCTGAGAACTTGCCCTTTCTGGAGCCTTTAAATGCCAACAAAGATATAACAATTTCTGAGAGATTAACAACAGAACAAGCCACATCTATCCCCACAAATTAGCAGTTTGGGAGCACCCCGAGGCCCCGGCTGCCCTCACAAGAGCAGCAGCTCACCCTGCATCGCAACCGGCTCAGAAAACCCAAAGCCCACAGCCTACAGCCTGAAAACGTCGCCTGGCGCCTGCATCCCTGTCCGGCAGGTCAGCTCAGGAGTGACCCAGCCCCTCCCACTTCCCCTCAGAAGAGAAACGGCTGGCCCTTGCATCTTCCTCCTGCGACTCCATCAAGGAGGCTCCAGGGTGCCAGGACCATGGCTTTGATCTCAAAGCCAGGCCTCCACCAGCGCTTCAGGGAACCCAGGAGGACCTGAGGCACATGCAGCTGGATGGTGGCTGCCAGGGACTCAGAGCTCTGTGCTGAGGCCCTGCCCCACGCCCCTACCTGCAAACAAGCAGACACCAGTTGTATAAGACGGGTGCAGCGATGATGGTCAGCCAGTGATAGTACATTTTGTCAGAGGGGTCCACCACGATGGCGTCCTTCTTTCTGGAAACACTGACGCACAAGCAGCACAGTGCGTTGGAAGACCACAGCTTTGGAAAGGCTTAGAGACCCGGCCTAGCTTAGAGACCCCAGGGCAACTGTGGGCTTCAGCTAGAGATGGCTTCCCAGATAGGGTGCTGTCAGTCCCAGGGGTGTCACATGGGTGTCCCTGTATGGGTGACCCCACCCAGGCTGGGAGCAGGGCAGACTCTGAAGGCCTTCTCTCCCAGCTCAGCACCCCAGGAAGCCACCGGTGACTACAAAACCACAGTGATGACATTCCCATGTCCTGGGGTATCATCCATAGCCTTCAGGGTGCCGAGAAGGAAAGTGGAGCACAGTGATATTGGAACCATCTCGGGGAGCTCTGTGAAAATGCCGACTCCCAGGCCCAGCCAGACCCCTCCAGGACTGGGGTCTGGAAACGTGCATTTAATCACTGCCCTGGGTGGTTCTGAGACAGCTCCTCTCTGCACTGAACTTGGGAGCTTGGGAGCCCAGAGCTCTCCCTTGGGGATGTGCTCTCTCCACCTCACTAACTGCAATCGTGCAGATGTTCTAAAGACATTTCCTGCCTCTCCACCAAAAACCACCAACCTGGGAATCATCGAGGCTATGTCAGCCAACACTGAATGGAAGAAATAGCTTAGGGTACTTTCGGTGTTTATTTTCAGGATTTTCGGAGGATTGGAATTTATAGGCGGTACTGGAGATCTTTCTTTGGGTCCACGCGTCTCCTCCCCCACCCCATCTGCCCCCTATGCCCGCCTAGGCCTGCAGAGCTGCTCCCGCGCCCCAGAGGAGACCCTGAGTTGCCTTTCTGTTTTCACCTCAACTTAGCAAGTCCAAGATCAGCAGCTGATTGACTGGGCTTTGTACGTTCCCAACACTCATTGCCACTGGGTTTGAATTAAAGTTTGTGAATATAGTGTTTTCTGGTACCCAGGAAAAGGGCTCCGCATACCCTACTGTGTGGACGGCCACCTTGTGGGCAAACAGAATGGCCAAGGGGAGGGCAACGGAGCAGGCTCCCAGGGAAGCCCTGAACTGCTCACCTGAGGCTGCAGACAAACCTGCCTACCTACAAGCCCCGCTTTGGGCTCCCCGACTTTCCCTGCAGAACGAGACCCTCACGTGATCTCAGCAGGCCTGATCCCTGCCTGAGACCAACTCCTCTTCTGTAGCCCTAAGCAGCCCTCTCTCCAGGGCTGACCCTAAGGCCTGACTGCATCTCTCTCCTCCCCAGGGCCAGGGCCAGGTGGTGTGGAACCAGGCCTGCTGTGACCATGGAGCCCCCTCTTTGGGGGCAGTTTCTCTCAGTACTTACTCCTCCTTTTTTGGGTTTTCCTTTTTCTCTTCTTTTTTTTCTTTCTCCTTTTTCGCCTTGTCACTGGATGACACAGGGTGACATTTAGCAATTTTCAAATACCAAGGTCATTACCATGGGGAGAGGGTAGGCCACAGTGACACGGGGGAGAGGGCATGGTGCAGGAAACCAATCTTTCCAGCACACTGGGATGAAATGAGGTTGTTGATTTCATGAATAATATCGTTATTATTATTCATGAAGAGGGAGGGTACCACCTCCACCAAAGTATCCATTGTATACACTGAAATGTACGCAATGGTTCAGTCTAATATTCTACAATTTCTGACCTATTTCTGTGAGTCCCTAGAAAGTCACAAGCAGCTTGAGACTGGAAACTTTTGAGGTAATGGGAAATAAACCCAAATCCACACCTTTAGGGTGGAAAAGTCACTCAGAGTTTTGGGAGTCACATGGAACGCTCTTTGTTCTGAGGAAAGGGGGTGGCTTTTCCGTTGCTCTGGGGTCACATGAAAACCTGGCCCTCGATGGGAAAGCCAGGGGACAGAAAGGAAGCAAGACCCTTAGGCAGGCACAGGTGTGCTGTGCAGCAGCAAGTCTTCAAGGTGTCTGAGGCAAATGCAGCCATGCTCAGACGCTTCCAGACGTTGCTGGATGTGGCGTTGCAGGTGGGGCCTCGCCCTCCTGTCTGCATCAGCAGGGAGGGCCTGTAAGGGCAGATGTTTCCTCAACACACAGCTTTACTCTGCTTCCCCTTCTTTATTGCATGTCTTTCATGGGCTGGACACAGTTACAAGGGTTACCTGTTAACGGTTAGAGTAGTCCTGCAAGGCACGCATTATTGCCCACTGAACAGCCGAGGAAACAAAGGTGGAGGGTAAAAGACCCTGCCTGCCTCAGGCACCCCCGGAATCACCCGCAGGCCCTTCTGATTCCCCTGTTCCTTCCCCTGGAGTAAGGAAGGGCTGAGAAATAAGTGTCTGCTAATTAAATACTCGTTGAAAAGGACCAATGCACTTTACACAGCACTTCCCCAGGAAATAATCAAAGATGTGTGCAAACATGCATACAGAAGAATCATCACCACCATTATTTCTAATAGTCACAGCATAAACAGTCTAATCATACAACAGAGGAAATTCTGCATCAACCACAGAATTCTATGAGGCCACTTACAACGAGGCTGTGGAAGAATATTCAGTGACAGGGGAAAACGTTCCTCAGATTTCGCTAAGTTAAAAAGTAGACTACAGGGCTTCCCTGGTGGCGCAGTGGTTGGGAGTCTGCCTGCCGATGCAGGGGACGCGGGTTCGTGCCCCGGTCCGGGAGGATCCCACATGCCGTGGAGCGGCTGGGCCCGTGAGCCATGGCCGCTGAGCCTGCGCGTCCGGAGCCTGTGCTCCGCAATGGGAGAGGCCATAGCAGTAAGAGGCCCGCGTACCGCAAAAAAAAAACAAAACTATGAGAACTAATCAATGAAATCATTAAAGCTGCAGGATACAAGATTAATATACAGAAATTTTTTGCCTTTTGATTTCTCCATCAAATCTGAACAACGGGAGAAGCCACAACAGTGAGAAGGGCCCCGGTACCCAAAAAAAAAAAAAAAAAAAAAAAAGAATAAAAAGTAGACTACAAAAGATTTTCTAATAATAGGTGTACTAGTTTTCTATTGCTGCCAGAACAAATTACCACAGACTTAGTGGCTTAAAACAGCCCAAATGTATGATCTTGCAGATCTGTAGGTCAGAGATCTGGTAGTGGTCTCATCGAAGTCAAGGTGTCGGCAGGGCTGTAATACTTTCTGAAGACGCTAGGGAAGAAACTGTTTCCTGCTCACTTGGATTGTTTGCAGAATTCAGTTCTTTGCAATTATAGGACCAATATCCTCATTTTCTTGCCGGCTGCAAGCTGAGGACATTCCCAGCTTTTAGGGGCTGCTGCATCCTTGGTTTGTGGCGCCCTTCCTCCATCTTCAAAGCCGGCAACAGCGGGTTGAGTCCTTCTCAAGATGCCATCTCTCTGCAGCTGGGAAAGCTTCTCCACTTTTAAGGATGCATGTGATTCGACTGGGTCCACCTTGATAAGCCAGGAAAATCTCCCCATCTCAAGGTCCTTAAACTTCATGACATCTGCAAACTCCCTTTCGCCGTGTAAGGTAACATAGTCACAGAATGTGGGGATTAGCATATGGGCACCTCCGGGCTACCTACTACAGTCTTCACTGGCTCTCAAAGATTTCCTTGCATCCCATGTGCAAAATGACTTCACCCCCATTCCAAGATCCCCCAGCCTCATCCCATTAGAGCATCAACTCAGAGTCCAAAATTATCATCTAAGTCTCATCAGTTCAGAAGTCCCAAATCTCATCATCTAAATCAGGTGTGTGTGGACTCTGGGTGTGAATCATTTGAGACACGAGTCCTCCCTACCTGTGGAACTAAAGAAACGAATCATCTCCATAAACACAATGCAGGAGCAGGCATAGGACACCAGATGCAGATATTCTAGCTCGGCAAGGGAGAAGATGGGAGGACAAAAGGAGTCAGTGGTTCCAAGTGATTTCGAAATCCAGCAGGGCCAGGGGCCAGTACGTTTCAAGGCCTGAGAATCAATCTCTATAGCTCATGGCTCCGCCCTCAGTCATCCTTCCTTTTTCATGAAAGGTAGCACCTGTTTGTAGCTGAGTAGTTTTTTTATCAGCCTGCTTTCTGCATCTAGAATTTAGAGGTTTAACAGTTTTCCTTCATTTCGTACTGTTTCTATCCTTCAGGTCCAAGCTGGCAGCGTTTCTGCTGCCATAAAATCTTCTAGACCTTAATGGGCCATGTATACCAGAGGGATCCACTCCACTAGACAGAGGCTCATCCACAGATCTTTCTGAGAAATCTCTTCTCTGTTTTTGGCTTCTGTTGAGATGAGCCATGGTTCACACCCTCGGTCTCTTCAGAGGGTCTTCTATGTGACTGAATACTCAGAGCTTTTGATCTTTGAGTTATTAGCAAAAGTTCACCCACATCCTCAGCTTTTTCCTGAAGGCGTGCTTTCCTGACAGTGAGTTTTTAAAACTTATTCTCTTTTGCCATTTGAGCAGGCTGAGAACTTCCCAAGTCATCAAGTCTTGTTTCCTTTTCATCTATCAGTTCTTCCCTCAATTTCTTTCTTAAGTTTTACCATAAACAGCAAGAATAAACCAGGCTGCACCCTCAGTACCTTAACTTAGAAATGTCCTCAGCTAAATATTCAAGCTCATTGCATACGAATTCTGCTTCCCCCATATTTGTGGGACATAATCCCACTAAGCTTTTTGCCACTAAACAACATGAATCCCCTTTCCTTCAGGTTCTAAAAGCCTGCTCCTCACGTCCTTATGAGCCCTCACCAGCAGCACCCCTAAAGTCCAGATTTCTACTAATAGTCTGTTTCGACCATTTAGGTAATGAAGTATGTAGGCAACTTAGGTTTTTCTCTGTAATGCTCCCCATTTTTCCTTCTGAACCCTCACTGCTATCGTTTTTTTTTCTGATGATTGTTCCCCACTTTTTAATATCTTTATTGGAGTAGAACTGCTTTACAACGGTGTGTTAGTTTCTGCTGACAACAAAGTGAATCAGCTATACGTATACATACATCCCCATATCCCCTCCCTCCCACCCTCCCTATTCCACCCCTCTAGGTCGTCACAAAGCATCGAGCTGATCTCCCTGTGCTACTGGTAGAGTCTTTAACATTCATATTTCTTTTAACAACCTGTTCAAAGCAATCTAGGCTTTTTTAACAAAAACATGCTCCTTAAAATTCTTCTGGATCCTGCTTAGGGTCAAATCTGAAGCCACTGCCACATTTTAGGTATTTGTTACAGCAGCACTCCACTTCTGGGATCGAAAGCTGTGTTACTGATTTTCTACTGTTGCCATAACAAATTACCACAAGTGTAGTATCTTAGAACAACCCAAATTTATTCTCTTATAGTTCTGGAGATTGGAAGAAGTCGTATAATCTCACTGGATGAAAATCAAGGTGCCCTCAGGCTGTGTTCCTTTTTGGGGGCTCTGGAGAGAATCTGTTTCCTGCTTACTGGGATTGCAGGCAGAATCCAGCTCCTTGAAGCTCAGGGCCAAGGTCCCTGTTTTCCTGCTGGCTGTAGATGGAGGGCTATCCCTGGCTTTTGGAGGCTGCTGCATCCGTGACTCAGGTCTCCCTCCCCGCTTCCTCCATTTTCAAAGCCAGCAATGACAGGACGGTCCCACTCACACTGCAAATCTCTCCTCCTTCCGTCTCATATCTCTGACTCACTCTCCTACCTCCCGCTTCTGCTTTTAAGAACTCATGTGATTACACTGGGCCCACCTGGATAATCCAGAATAATCTCTCCATCTGCAGGTCCTTAAATTCAATCACATTTGCAAAGTCTCCTTTGTCATGTAAAATTAATCTACTCACAGGTTCCAGGGATTAGGATGGAAACATTTTTGGTGAGGTTGTGGTAGTGAAATTACTCTGCTTCCCACAGTAGTCAATATTGATTGATCATTTACTACGTACCAGGCACTGTTGTAAGCACTTCACATGTATTAGAATAGTTAGTCTTAACACAACTCTGTAAGATGCCAATTACAATCCCTATTTCACAAGTCGGGAAACTGATGCACAGAGAGGTCAGGTAACTTGCTCAAGGTCACAAAGGTGGTTGAGTTGGGATGCAAATGCTCTTAACCAGTACATATATTAAACATATTGCATCTGTCTATGTATCTGTGTATCTATGTATCCATGTATCTATCTATTCAATATATATGCCTAGAGAAAACTTGGAGGGATATTTGCCAACATGTGAAGAGGGGTTGTCTCTGATAATGGGGTTCAACTGCTAACGTAAAGTGTACTTTTTTATGGGTGTATGCTCGTGGGTGCTTTTCTGTGTTTTCTAAGTTTTTGACAGTGAGCATATTAATAAACTAAGAACAAAAGTTGTTAGAATCTTTAAATGAGAAGAGCAAGGACACTCACCCATCCTCTGTTCTCTTGAATCTACTCGTCTTTCTGCAGCTGAAACCTTAATGTCAACACACCAGCAGAGGGCGCTGCCCACAAGCTTATCGGGCACACTTAGCCCTGCTGGGAGTTTAATTACACCAGGCTCTGCCACCCTTGTTCAGGATTTGTGGCCCCAGGTTACAAGCTTTGGACTTTCCTCTAGCTACCAACCTGCTGAGGCCCTAGGGAAGACCCCGTGCCATCCAGTTGTGTCCCGGAATCCACCCAGCACTGCCCCAGGGGACCTACACAGAGCTACAAAATGAGGCTGGTTTTGGCTGAGAACAGATTGATCGGGAGAAAGAAATTTTCAGAACCCATGGGACTAAGTGAAAATGCTAGAAATGTGGTGGAAGAATGGGGGAAGGTGTCCATAAGAATTACTTCTGTATCTTTGTATCCAGGTGGCTCCATTTGGGGGCAGCCCCCAATTTTGTCCCTCAGTCCTTGGCTGCAGTGTGGACCCACAATACGAGCCCATCTGAAAAGATTTATAAGAGCCTGATGTAGCTGATGGCATCCACACCATCCTTGCCCACATCCCAGCCCCAGGATGGAGAAGCCTGGAGACCCACTCACAAGACCTCTACCTATGGTTTCTGGTGCCCTGAGCCTTTGCCTGACTGCGGGACTCAACACCAGGTTTCCAAGGGCATCAAACACATATCACAGTAGCTATCATTTTGCAGATTAAATCATTTCATTTTTCTTGACTGTTGGCATTTGGGTCTCTGGATTTGATGTCCCAATTTATGTAAACAAAATGCAACTAAGGGGGAGAGGATGGGGGAGGGATCAACTGGGAGTTTGGGATTAGCAGATGCAAACTATTATATGTAGGATGGATAAACAACAAGGTCCTACTGTAGAGCACAGGGAACTATATTCAATATCCTGTGATTAAACCATAATGGAAAAGAATCTGAAAAAGAATGTATATACGTGTAACTGAATCACTTTGCTGTATTCCAGAAACTAACACAACATTGTAAACTCACTTCAATTAAAAAAATACATTTAAGGCTTCCCTGGTGGCGCAGTGGTTGAGAGTCCGCCTGCCGATGCAGGGGACACGGGTTTGTGCCCCGGTCCGGGAAGATCCCACATGCCGCGGAGCAGCTGGACCCGTGAGCCATGGCCGCTAAGCCTGCGTGTCCGGAGCCTGTGCTCCGCAACGGGAGAGGCCACGACAGTGAGAGGCCCGCGTACCACAAAAAAAAAAAAAAAATTTTAAAAACAAACAAAAAAGCCCCAAAATGCATCTAAGGTTCATGGAGAGAAATGGAAAGAAGTTCTATCAGAAGAACAAAGGGAAATAACAGGAAAAAGCTAACAAGAAAAAGCCTCGGCACAGTTCTTGGTCGACTGGAAGTCAAGGAATTGGCATTTCTTGGCTGATATGGATGGTTTTCCCCTAAGCTCCAACTGAGACCCCACTCTGCTACCTAAAAAGGAAGGCTGGAGAACGGGGCACACACACACACGTGTTCACACACAAATATGGTCACACACATACGCACACTGTCTGCTTGGGCTCTTGGGTGATGTTGCCAGAATCACACATCAAACTGCTCTGCCAGCTCAGCATCGGGTGGTAAGAAGGAATTACGGTGGGTCACGGTTTCAAGAGGCTAATCTCTGGAACTCTTTAAATTTCCTCTTTCCACTGTCCTGATCATGCCCTCCAAATTGGCCTGAATTGGCTTTAAGACAAGGGCACTTCACCGGCACACAGGAGCTTGAGGATGTAGAATGGAAAGTGCATTCTCATCATGAAGGAGATTTATCCACTGCTCTGTAAAGGGACTCCAGCTTTGCACCAGATACATAGCAACAGAGGTGTTAGCACTGAAAATGTTCACCGATCCAACCCCTTCGCTTTCTAGATAAGAACGATGAAAGACACAGAGATAAAATGACCTGCCCCAAGAAGTCACACAGACCAGGTCCCTCTCCCCATTTGTCCACGGGGATGGGTTTCCAGTGGAAGCAGCAGGACCCTAGAATGGTCTGGTGGGGTTCGGGGGAAGTAACAGTACAAAGCTGGGGTGTCTACAGGGAGGTGGTTGGCCGCAGGGAGTGGGAGGGAGCAGAGGTACTCACTCCTTCTCTGAGTTGTTGCAGGCATTGGTGTTGCTTCTGGCCAGGGGCCAGTCACTGCAGGGAGGTAAAGAGAGCACAGCATGGGAATCTGAACTCAAGTCCAATTGCTGGGGACCCCTTGCCCCCAGGCGGTTATTCTGGGACTCCCATCCCCTGTCTCACGGGCCTTTCCACACAGCTTGAACAGAGGGAATTGTTATTGTCAGGGACAGACATTTTTTTGTGACTAGTTAGTGTTGGTGAAGGGGAGAGGATGAACACCTGGGTAAACTGACCCTTCTGAATAACTGAGGATTAACTCTTTGAATCCCATCCAGCATCCTAGCCTCGATTCCTCTCAATGTCCTCCAGTTTTAGCATGTGGCAGGCAGTGGGCCAGGCGCTATGGAGGGGGGGCACAGAGACCACCCGGCGTGGCGCCTGCCCTCGGGTGCGCCTGGGTGAACAGGCCAAGCTCCTCGGACCAGAATGGACATAGTTAGCAGCAGCAGCAACTTGCTGCCCCCTCTGCAGAGACATGGCTGTCACAGGGCCCTTCCCTTGGAAACCCCATCACAGGGGCCGCTTCCAGTTCTCAGGACAAAAAATGGACTCTGGGGCTTCCCTGGTGGCACAGTGGTTGAGAATCTGCCTGCCAATGCAGGGGACACGGGTTAAAGCCCTAGTCTGGGAAGATCCCACATGCCGTGAAGCAACTAGGCCCGTGAGCCACAACTACTGAGCCTGCGCGTCTGGAGCTTGTGCTCCGCAACAAGAGAGGCCACGACAGTGAGAGGCCCGCACACCACGATTAAGAGTGGCCCCCGCTTGCCGCAACTAGAAAAAGCCCACGCGCAGCAACTAAGACCCAACACAGCCAAAAATAAATTAATTAATTAATTAATTTAAAAAAAAAAGGACTGGGCAGAGCTGCCCCAGGTTTCAGCCCATCCTCCCCCTTCCCCTGCCCCACATTCATCTTAGAACTCCAGGGCCTGCCACCCCAGATCTATGTGAGAATCTGGCAGAAGGTGGGGGCTGGTTTCACAACCAATCACGTTTACTGAAAGCTGGATTGGGCAGTATTTCGTGATGTTCTTTAGGAAAAGGCGTGATCTCCCTGAGCTCACCTGCCAGTTTGCATCTTTGACAGCTGGTTTTAGAAAGCCAGCCTGGCCTCACAGGGCTAGAGGGCAGCTTGCCTGTCTGTGGTGACTGCAGACCATTCACAGGACAGGAGACCCTGGGGCCCAGAGCCAGGCGCTGGTGACACTCCAGCCTGACTCTCAGGGCACCTGTTCTATGATGTTGAACATCCAGCCAAATGCCTTTTTGGTACTTCTCATCCCTCCCAAGCCTCCCTCTCCCCATCCAGGGTGTGGCTCTAACTGCTTGCTTCAGGATTGGTTCAGATCATCTAAAAATCCCCTGGGGAATCAAAACTGTGAGATTATGGAGGAAAGTTTAGCTCTCTGGGGTGCAGTTGCCCGTGACCTGCACCATAATCTGCCATAGTCTCATCGGGCCAAATCCACAGAAGAACTAAGACCCATCTCTGCATACACTTTGCTTTGCTGATGGGACTTGGCCTTGAAAATTCAAAGTCTTCTTCCCCCAGGAAGCCTCCCTGATTGATCTGCTCCCATCCTGCACCTTTGCATTCACCTGCCCACTCAACCTTCCAGCAAGTGACCAGGCATTGGGGCCTGGTTCTGATGGGGTCAACCCTCCGTTAATCTGGTCACGTAGGGAAATGGGCAGAGTCTAATGTTCATCTCCATGTTGCGGAGTCTCAAGTTGCAGAGAAGTTGTTTGATCAATTAAGCCAAGGAAGTCTTTGCTTTGCCTAAAAGGAACTGAACCGGCCTGGCTGGCTTGCTAGCAAACCTCCTTTCCTCCCCGACTCTTTCCTCCTCCTCCACCCTCCCTTCGTCCTTAGCTGCCATCCCTCCTGTCTTTCTGGCTCAGCAGCGAACAGCATGTGGGCCTCGTGGTCCTGGTGCTCCCTCACAGCCTGGGATGCCCGGTCCTGGGAACCTGGGATGGCCCTGCACACATCCAGCCAGCACCAGGCCCTCCATGGTCCCCTTCCCACAGCCCAGGGAGCCCGAGGGTTTACAGTCCAAGCTCATGGGAAATGGGAGCCTGAGGACGCTGCTCCACTGGGCCTCCGCCTCTCAGCCAGAGATTCTCACACCTTTCCCCAGCAGAGAAGACTAATGTAGGTCTCCTAATGCCTCTGGCAAGACATCTCTTTGAACTCTCATATTTTATCTTAAATACGCTTGTACATTTTGCAATGCACTGCATAACCTATAACAAACATAACCCCCCGCCCCAAATCTGGAAATAAAATCGAAGCTCCAGAAAGATTCATCTGTTTCCCCTGAGGCTTCATGGCCTTTACCCCCCAGGGGCTTTCTTTGCCTTTTCGAGGGGCTCGCAACCGAGCCCTTCTGTTCCTTTGACTCCAAAACAGACAGCATTTTCTCTAGCAAATTATATAGGGACTGTCTGTTCTGCAACAATCATGCATCTTTTTTCACACTTTACGTCTTCTAAACCCTGGCGTAAGCTAGAGAATTCAGCCAAAAGATCTTTTTCAAGCCCCTTTTTCCTTAAAACAGGTTCTGAGCAAGTGTCCTCCTGTTTGTGAGGCCGAGGGGAGGTCCGCTTCCCCTGAACCTGTTACCTCTTCTCCCCCAACTGCCCCAAGGGTCCTAAAGAGACCCTCTGCTGTTCAGCGACAATGGATTCAACCCACAGTCACCCAGTGGTCTCCCCGCCCACCAGAGGCTGGGGTGACTTCTCAAGACAAAGAGAAGAGGGGGAGGGGAGGCAGCAGCTCTGTGCGGGGGAGGGGGGGGGCAGGGGGACTGGGGGGTGTCAGTCCAGCCCCTGCAGATTTCTCTACTTGCAGGCACCAGACAGCACCAGCCACAAGCTCCCCACCGGGCAGGGGGCCGTGCAAGGTGCTCAGAGCCCTTGTTCTGCAGACCCTTCTCCTACTAAAAAGCAGACACTCTCCTCATCCCCCACCCTGTGCTCCCCACGGTTCTGAAACCAACCTGAGGTGAGGGTGGTTCCCCTTGAAAGTTCTAACCAACCTTTGGACCTTTTCCCCAGAAGAATGTACGTATACCCATCCATAAAACTGTGGGTACCATCTAGGCACTCCTGAGGTTCGTGGTACAAAAGCCCCAGTTTTTTAGCAAGGTGGGCCACAGTGCAAGGTGAGTAGGATGAGGGTCCTTTAACAGAGAGATTGGTGAGGCTAACGTCCCGGTGCGATTCTGAGAGCACCAACTCCAGGGGGTGCTAGCAGAGGACAGGGTCAGCTGCCCATGAGGCTGCGGCCTCTGGTTAAAGGGTTTCCGCTCCCACAGGGCTTCTTGGGCTCGTGTGGAGACTCCTAGAGCACGCAGTGTTCCCCCAGGACAGACCCGTTCTTCAGGGAACAGCTGAGGGACTGGTGCTCCCGGCCACCTGGGCGGGGCGGGGGGGATCCACGCTGCACAGAAGGGGCAGCAAGTGCTTCCCTCCCCGTTTGGGGCAGGCAGCCCCGCCTCCCTTACCTTCTCCCTCTGTCTGGCGGCTCCTGGCTGCCCGCGTTGTTCTGGACGTGGCTTTTGCGGCTGGACACCTCCTTGAGCTCGGCTCCGTGGAAACGCTCCAGGAAAGAGTCAGGCCTCTGGTCCTCATGGCCTAAGTGCCTGGCGGCCCAGGCGCACAGCAAGATGATGAGGCGTGACAACCTGGAAGGGCACAGACCCGCAGTGAGGGCGGTGCAGAAGGAGACGGAAGCCCCCTCCCAGAGGGCTGGGGCAGGGGCAGAGATGCCAGCAGGATGTGGGTCCCAGGGCCGGGCTCAGGTTTGCACACCACCCTCTGCCCCCACTCGCAAGAGCCTTTTCTTCCCTCCACCTCTGCCACCTGGGACGGAGCTTCCTCCATAAGGGACATTTCTTCATTACGGCTTTGTCCCTTTAACACCTAGACTCCATCAAAGGCATGATCCTGCCAATGGGCCATTTAGCAAGCTTTTCTGTTCATCTTTCCTTCTGCCCCATGTAGAGCTCTTTGTTACGACTGGTAAGCACAGGAACAGTAAAAAATACAATTTCCGAATAGTGATAAAATTCAGAGCAAGGTATAAAGGAACAAGCACCCAGATACAACGTAGGTTCTTTCCCCAACCCTTGTCCTATGAATTGCTCTTCATACAAACTCTCGTTTTCTCCCCAGCCCTGTGCAGAAGTTCCTGTGCAATGTGCCCTGACCTCTCTCCTGGAGCGGACGCCACCTGGGCCTCAAGCACCCGAGACCAGGCAGTCCACACGCCCAGAGCTCATCTTAGCTTCAGTTTTCTGTAAAAAAGCTTCCCTCAGCCCTGCCTCTTGCTTCCCCGTCTTGGCCAGGGGGGAACGGAAAGAGAGACTCAACTATTCCTTGGAGTTCAGCTTTCCTGACTGGGCACCCACTGTGCATGCCACTGTCCCCAAGAAATCAGTTCTGAGCAACCTGGCGTGGAGTCATGAATTGTTACATACCTTGATCCCCAACACACACTTGTGACCATAGCCTAAGGGAATAAGTTGAAGTGAGGGAACATCCCACAAACAGAGATGCTTACAGCGGCTGCTGCAGATGAATGGCAAGGTGCCTGCCCAGCCCAGCCTCTCCGCTCTGACACTCCCCACACCCACGTCCTCCCTCTGCTGAGGGAGAGAAGCAAGGTCATACTCCCCGGAGCTCCAGCCTCAGCCAACAGGCTCGGGGATGGACGACTGACCCAAAGAGTCACTCAAGCCTCGGAACTAAAAACCACTCCAAGATGGGGTCGGGTGTTTCAACTCAGGATCATATGGTGAAGACTGTTTTCAGCCTGTGCCTGCTGAGGTGTGAGCAGAGAAAGCCAGAAACGTAGGAGGCACGCAGGAAAAAAGCACACAGATCATGAAATGCTGCTAGAGAAACGAGAGAGGGAAGGCAGCTGCTTCCCCACGGCCCCTTATGAGCCCCACTGGCTCCGTTTCCACAAGGTGGCCTGGATCTTAGCTTATACCAGCCCCTGCCCCAGCCCTACCCTTTTCATTCGAGCTAGTTGAAGGTGTTCTCTAACTTACGATCAACAGGCCTTTTATTAGTAAGACAAAAAACACTGGAAATCACTCAAATGCCCAGCTGTAAGTGGCTAGTGAAATAAATAATCCTCCACAATGCAAAACATGAAGAATAACTAGATAAAGTAATTTTTTTGCAAAATACTCTTAAGCAAAACCTGTAGAACACGTGACTGTATGAAACTCTGGCTTTGGTTAAAAAAATAAAATCAGTGGAAGGAAATAATGAGCCCAACATTTGTTGAGCACCCGTCGTGAGGCAGCACTGGGCTCTGCCACAGCCCTCATGTTACTAGATGCATCTTTAGATAAGACGTGAAAGGTGAAATGACTCCCTCCAGGTGGTACAGCTACTGAAGCCGGAGGACAGATGTCATCAGAAGGAAGACAGAGCTCGGAGCCTAGTTAATCTTTCAAATACTTTTGTGAGGACGTAAGCTATGAAGTCTAGACCCATACGAGTGAGGACCTGCCAGGGGCTATTTCCGACAGAGCCACGATTGCCCTCTGTGTGCCACCGTGATCCACCCAACGGTCTCCCACGGCTGGCTGATCTTTCTTTTGAATTCTTTTCTGAAACTTCTCTGGTTGGCTTTTTTTTCTTGAATTCTTCCAGAATTGAGCAAATACCTCAATATCACTTTTTATGAGAGCAATTTCAGATAAAGGCAGTTTTTCTTAGACTTTTCTGAGCTCGGAACACCCGACCTAAGAGGAAATGACTCCCTGATAGATTTCTGACTCCGCTTCTCCTGCCCCTTTCTTCTCCAAATCTGCAACCCTACCCTCAACCACCATTTCTTCCTGAGACTTATCTACCTTCTTTCTGCCTCCGTCTGCCCTTTCTCAACCACCATTTCTTCCTGAAACTTATCTACCTTCTTTCTGCCTCCGTCTGCCCTTTCCCAAGGTGAGGGCTGAGACCAGTCGGTTACCTGGCAGGCCACTGACTGGTGAAGGAGCTTCGCTTGGATTCAGCCAGTCCTCTGGTCTCCATGGTGATGCCTTCTTGCAGTTCTGACGGTGTCTCCTCACATGGCAAGTGGGTCCTAGGAAATCAAATATGCAGCAAGTGAAATTGATTTCCAGCTCATCCTTGACATTGATTTCCAAGCTCCTGGACACGTTGAGGACTGAGATGGCCAGATGCCCTGCTTAAAGAGGAAAGCTACTGTCACAGATCCTCACCCCAGAGCTCCCCACTTCAGTTCATACTCCAGCAGGAGCCAGCAGGTCCTGGCTTTCAGGAGAAAGTGGCCTTTCCTTTATGACAAGGAGGCTACTGCCCATAGCCCAGGTGAAAAGGGCAAGCCAGAAGCAAATGGTCCTTATAAGAGCACTGGGGGCGGCGGGGAGGTCCCAGGCCTGCATCTGGAGCCACAGCAGCTGTTTCCATGCGAGGATTCCAGAACAAGGATTTTGGTTCACACACATCTCTGCATACTGAAATCCTATATCCTAAAGTCAGATCAAGTGCCACCTCCTTCAAGAGGTCTTCCCTTGCCCTCTGTCGTAGTGTGTAGGTACTGCAGGAGCCCACTGGTTAAGAGGAGGGTCCGGCAATATTGTAAGGAATTGGCCTAGCCCTCCACGTGCATTTGTGTAGTGCTTTCAAATGAAAATCCATTTCTGCTGTGCCCTTTTGACAAGCCCTAACCCGTGTCCCCTGTAACGCGGAGGGAAGGGGGGCGGGGACCTCACCTGTGCAATTCTGGGCGAAAAGCAACAGCACCCACAGGACAGGTGTCCACAGCTCAGTCTGAGCATCAGCAGAGCCTCGTGTTTGTTGAACTTCCTGGAATAAGACCTCTCTGCTGGGGTGTAATTTTCCTTTTCTCCCTTCCTTTTAAAACTTCCTAGGGCTGAAGTCTGATCAGCCTGATTAAAAGCCATCCAGGCATTGGCCTCCAGGGATTTTCACTTCGTTCCGAGTCTTGAAGAGCCCAGGCAAGACAAATTAATTCGATCACATGACCTATTCCAGCCTAATCAGCCGTCTTAACAAGGTGGCAACACGGCTGAAGAAGCAAGCAAGACTTAATGTCACGGTAAAGGCTCTATCTCTCCCCAGTGAGTGATTCGAAGTCAGAATCCTGTATCTCAGCCGCCAAGCCGCTGCCTCTTCCTTTCTGCAACCTCCCTGCCGTCTCCAGCATGGGGAGCTCACTACCATTCCATGGCTGCTCCAGGTCTTCTCTGCACAGCCCTGATTGCCAGCAGGTTTTTCTCTCCCTCAGCTTCCCCATATCGAGGATACACTTTTTTTTTTTGCTGGAACCACATGGAGTCAGGCAACTTCATCTTCTAAAAGACCGCCTTCCATGAAGGGACAGCTCTCACACCTGTGCTGCCTCGTTTTTCCAGGCTAGACGCATCAGCTCACCCAGCCTTTCCTCATCAGGTTCAAGTCTCTTCCCTGTCATGGTCATTCTCCTGTGAGCAGGTTCCTGTATTCTTGCCTGACTGGGCACAGAGAATGAGAACCACCCTGCTGTTACCGGAGCCCAAGATAAGCTTTTGGTGCCCCATCACCAGCTACCATCATCCAAAACCCAATGTCTTATAACATGTGCTGCTACTAAGCCAGAAGGCCTTGTCTTATGCATGTACAATTGACTTGTTGGGAATAAGTATTGGACTCTCCCATTTATCTGAGTCACTTGACGTTTTGGCACCCTTGGTAGGCAGGGTCCTCCCAACTCCATCTCATTCACAGATGTGATACCCAAAGTACACGCCATTTATTGACCGCTTGCTGTATGTCAGCCACATACATTTTATCACTTAATCCACATAAAAACTGTATGAGAGGAAACTGAGGTTCAGAGAGGTTAAGTAACTTCCCCAAGGTCACACAGCCAAGTGGCAAAGCTGAGACTTGTATGCCATTCCATCTCCTTTCAAAGCCTGCTCTCACCCACTCCATGAATCTGCCTTCTGTATTTTCATATATGGCACTGATTAAAGCAAAAGTTGAATAGGACATGGCTGAGAGCTGAGCCCTGTGGCATGCCACTAGAGACATGGCTCTGATTCCCCTGGCTGCACTAATGTGGGCATGGCTTTTTTATTTCCAAACCGCCTAATTGAATTCTCTATACTCATAAGAGACCACTCACACCTCATCCTTATACATATGAGAGATCCTACCAGAGGCCCTGCTGCAGTTAGGAAGCTACAATACCCTTGCGCTTCTAATATTCTGCACACTACAAAGGTGGGAATGCAGGTTCCAAGGCACCCGGGTCAGTTACAGGAGGAGGAGGCGGCAGGGGGACAAGTGAGTCCATCTCTCCAGTGCCTGGATCCTAGCGGCTGGCATGCTTGGGGGTGGGGAGTTGGGGTGCGGGCAGCAACTAACAGCTGGGCTCTAGCTCTGCCACAGAATGTGTGCCTGGAAGATCTAGAGGCAATCCCAGGACGAGGTGTTCTGTCCCCACCAGCAGCTCCCTCCTCAGGGAGCTCTAGGCACCGAGCAGGTGGCCCAGCATTTCTGCCTAGTCTGGATTCTGTTCATTGCTGGGGGGTGGGGGGGTACATCCTGAGGCCAGATTTATTTGCATCAGCAGCAAAGGACTCAATGCCCATGACATCAGGGCTTGTGGGTGGGTGAGAAGGGCAGAGCTCACCCCAGATTTCAAAGCAGGCCTGCAGCTGGCAGCAGTGAGAGCTACTGCAAGTGGCCCGGACCTTTGACACCTACGTGAAGGGGAGGTGGCGTAGTGGGGAGCCCAGAGGCCTGGGTTTGAATCCCTACCCCAGCACCTGTTAACTAAGTGCACTGTGGGCTGGTCACTTACCCTCCCTGAGTTTAATTTTCCTGGTCTTCGAAAAGAAAACAAAGGAAAAATTGATTTCATATTGATGTAAGTATTGGTCAAACACCCAAGTCCAGAAAGGCACATTTAGCTGTGAAGAATAGGAAGGGTCTTATACGATGTAAGTTCAAGGGACCCAAGGGGCCTTTTCTTCTTGATGCACCTCCCCACTTGTTTCTTGATGCCCAGAGTTCTACCGTGCTGTCTTTCCCCCAGCTCCATAGTCTCTACCCTCGTTAAATGCCTGGGGGTATTTAAATAGCAAACCCAATTAGTTATTCCTCAGAGAAATTGATTTTACGAGGTAAATGGAAGAGGAGATTGGCTAGGAAGAGAGGAACCAAATGTCTGAGGTGATATTTTGTGTCCCCAAGGACACACAGGTACTGCCGAAAGGGAGAAACGTCTGGCAATCAGTGCAAAATCAAGGATCCAGAACCTCCCAGGGAAATACAGAGGCAGGAGAGAGTGCGGGCCACGTACTGTCCAGCCAGGAGCTGGGTCAGGACTCGACAGGCTTCGGTCTCTGTAAAACAAGCAGATCAGGCCAGGACAATATGAAGTTGCCTCCTACCCGCAGTCTCCGGTCCTCCGTGGTGATGCTGCCTTTGCAGGAAGAAGCCCTGTGAAGTTAGCAACTAGCAAGATCAAGGGCAACTGCTGAAACAAAATGAAGTGACTGTTTTGAAAGACAAGGTCATTTTCAACCTGTAAAGCTCATCATCTGAGTTTATTTATACAGAGGAATTAATGTCCACGCTTTTTCGTTACTGGGAGGGAGCAGAGGTTCTCATCAGAACGGGAACTGGTGATTAACTTTGTGCTCTGTGGATCTGGTGTCTTCTTTCAGTGACTTTGGGGACATAAGAGGAAACAGAAGCGGCCTTTTGGAACAAGGGTGGAGAAAATGATACCTTATTTTACTTTTCCTGCTCTCAAGCCCTGAGGAACTAGAGTGATGGGTAGGTACTGCCCCAGCCACATGTGACCAGGGAACTGAAGTCACTGCATTTCTGTCTTGGGTCCTGGGGAAGCAGGTGGAAAATGGTTTTCTTTTGTGGTAATTGCTTTGGGCTCTGTTCAGGGTAAAGCATGAAGAAGTCTCCTTCTCTGTAGGACACAACCCCTTATGCCCAAAAGCTCACCTAAAATAGCTACACTAGGAGACTGATCTGGGGTTTGGGGTGCCCTCGGTCCCAGCTTCAATTCTCTGTGGCAGACTGTGAAGTCTTTCTCTATTGCATTATCTGCAAAAATATGCCAGACAGCTCTCAAATAACTGCGTCAACCAAACAGATCTAAATAGGAAGAGCAAAATTCAAGACATTTTTATTTCTGGTCTTTTCAAGGTATAAAATTAATTTTTTTGTTCAAAGGAAACATTTTCATCCTTCCTTATGACTCTTCACTAGGAAAATGGGCCCAATGATTTAAAAAGAGAAACAGAAACCTGGGTCTCTAACTTGGTGAAAGACCTGGGAGGCAGGACGTCTCAGGGGTCGGGGAAATGATACTCCCCGCTTTGGGGGGCACTCAGCAAAGGACCACACTAATGCATATGTTCCCAGCACAGCTGTGTGATATCATTGAGGATAAAGAGTGACTAATATTTAAGGACACACATTCATAATTATTTCTCCCAAGTTTTCTAAAAGGATTGGAATTTCAAGGCAAAGATCTACGATTTGTTCAAACAGCATTTCCTCGCTGCAAATAGTGATCTGAAACTTTAAAACTTTTATGTGACTGTGCCAGAGTCCTTTGCTGAAATCAATCTTACAGGGAAAAGTAGTCTGTGAATTGACAGATGTTGGGCTGCTCTGGGAAGCAGGGGAGGGCTCTGGACCCAGCCTTCCGGCCCAAGGCTGCTCCCCCCAGCCTGAACTCCTATTCTCAATCTTTGGTGATGCTAAGGAGCCATTCTGGAAACTTCTGTCTGTTAACCCACTCCTGCCTCCATGAGATAATGCTTCTCATGAAGGAAGCATTTTTCCTCTCTCTCCTTTTGAAACCTCTCAAGTGTTTCCACGGGATTCTGTACTAATCTGTCAACAAGCTTTTACCACGTATGTAGCTGGGCACGGCCCCAAGTGGAGCTCACTGAGACTCGGCTAGCGGTCAGGCTGAGAGAGCCTGACGTGGGCACAGGCAGGAAATGGCCCGTTCCAGATGTCGGGACAGCTGGGGCCATCTGAGGTCAGAGGAGGTGAAAAAGGCTTCAGCTGGGACGCCAGAGAAGGCCCATAGGAGGGGCAGCATCTCCAAGACCTGCAGTGAGCACCGATTAAGCGCTCACTGCGTGGCAGGGGCTGTGCCCCAAGCTTTACCCTGTTTTACCCTCATTTCTGCCCTGAGGTCAGTACTAGTCCATTTTGCAGATGAGGAAACTGAGGCCTGGAGCTGTTGAGCAGCTTTTCAGAGCCACTTTTCAAACCCGGCAGTCTGACCCCGAGCCTGTGCTATTGGTCACCACGCTGGCCTGGGGATGGGGGTGGGGGAGGGGAGGGCATTTGCTCACCCATGAGATGGCAGAGTACCGTCCAAGAGCATCACTTCAGAGCGCTGGCTGTGTGGACAACCTATCCCCGGAGCGTGCATGGACCCAGTGTGAGCCCAACAGTGAGGCTCTCGGAAGCCAGAGGCTCTTGAACAGCCCGCAAGCCAGACGGAGCTTGTCGGCCACCGTCCGAGGCAGAGGCAGGACAAGTCGGGCAGAGCTGGCTCATGGTGGTGTCAGGTCAAGCAGGCATTCTGGGCAGGAGCCCCAGCCCACTCGCCAGGCCCGCCTTCTCACTGGGAGGAGCCAGACTGACACTCCAGGGACTCTGGAAGCTCCACGAGATGCTCTGGTTTTGTCCCGCTCAAGGCAAAAGGGAGCAAATGGGGAACAGTTCCATTTGCTTCAAATTCTTCTTGATCCTAACAGCTTCTTCCTCCTCCCATTGGGCCCAAGAGCCCAGGAGCCTGATGCTGCCCAGGGAGCCTGACTTCCTGCTGTGCTCCATGCTTGGGACTTTGCTCCCCTCTACCGCAATCCTCTTTGAAGCCCCTCTTCAGGGGGTTTTATCAGCTCAGGTGTGGGAAAGAAACTATTAACGCACACCGAAGTTTTAATAGCAGATAACTGTCCTAAAAGTGTTCCTCTTCCTTTTTAATAAGGGCAATGCCTTAACCTAAAGGAAGGAGCCCTCAGTTGTGGAACACAAGTACTGACAGTCGGCCAGTTAGGAGGGAGAAATTTGAGTAGGGTGAGAATTTCTGACGCCCCTGAGTCTATCAAATTTCCTGGGTCCAAGCACCAACTTAAAAGAGTTGGAGGGAATATCTGTTGCCATGCTTTGAGATTTCCTTCCTTTGCCTGAATCCCAGAAGGTGGAGGTCCAAAGACCACGTAAGTTTGCAAAGATAGGGAAATTGCTGTCTATCACTTATTAGCCGAGTTGCTAAGGAGCTGGGACAGAGCACCTAGATGTAGGAAAAACCAAATGTGCATTTGAGAGAGGAAGTGACGTATATAAGTTAGTGAGGAGAAACGATGGAGGAGGGCCTAGTGCCAGGGATGTGAGGATTGAGGACTGTCATTGCACTTTTGGCCATCAGATAATATGCAGTTTTCATGGGAGGGAGGTTTTAAGTGTTATATATGTGAGACAAAAATAACATAAATATTGGAAATAAAGCTTCTTCTTGTTCAACTCAATCAACTCACTGAGCATTTAAGAAACATAAGAATGTAAGCCCATTTGCACCAAACAGATACTCTCCCATTTCCCAATGCTGCTCCATTTTGCAGTTGAAGAAACTGAGGCATGGAGGGGTTAGTGAGTTTTCCCAGGTCTACTAGTAAGTTAGGAACAGGGCTAGAAGTAGAACTCAAGGCCCCAGGTTTCCATGTGGCTGCCTGTGTCGGGATGTCACTGATGGGGCCGATGGCTTTGCTGGCAAGGCACGGCCCACTCCCCCCAGGTACGTGAGCACGGCTGAGTCCTGGCCTTCTCCTGGAAGTGAGGGACAGTGCACCTGATCTGTACTCCACCCCAGTGCCCAGGGCAGTGGCTGGTGCACAGACAGAGCCCGATAAATGTTTGATGTATACAAGGGAAAGTGTGGCAGTTTGGGGACATTTTTACAGTAAAATTTAATCAGCTGCATATGAGTCTTCATTTTCTTGCCTTCTAGAAAAAAAGTTACAAAAGTTATGTAACTTTTGGAGCCTCATTTTCCCACATCTCTAAAATGAGAATAAAAACGACTTCAGTGTGGGTTGTGAGGAGCAAGGGACATGGAAAATGAAGTTAGAAGGAGTGCTGTGAACAGAGCCCGCCCTCCGACCTGCGCTTGCCCACAGGCTAAGGCAGTCTTTCCCCCAGGTCTAGATCAGCTATGGAAATAACCTGTTCCAGGCACGAAGTTAAAAGCCCATCCTACCTGCTGAGGCCGTTCTCAATGCTATCAAGATCTCTGTCCGTGGTCCTTACCACGAGGTGGTGAGTCCTGGAAGGGTGGGAGTATTGGGTGCTAATCTTGGCCATCTTCTTGCTTTGTCACATTCAGCTCCAAAGTGGTTGCTGAAACATTAACACAAAGCAGATATGTCATCAGGACCCCCCAGGAAGTAACTGCAAACCCAGCTGGTATGGGAGGGCTACTCCCCCAGGCAAGCCCTGGCACACGTGCCCTCCTCCATTTCTCTCACAGTTCCTGCCACACTGTGTTTTAGTTGGATCTCTCCGGGCTAGCTGTCTGAACCAGAAGCACAAACAAGGTCTTTTACTCCTTTGTATATGCTGCATGCTGAGAGCTGCTCAAAGGTTTTTTTTGTTTGTTTGTTTTGTTTTGCTTTTTGCCACACCTCGTGGTTTGCAGGATCTTAGTTCCCCGACCAGGGACTGAACCTGGGCCCCCAGCAGAGGAAGCATGACGTCCTAACCACTGGACCGCCAGGGAATTCCCAAGGGCTGCTCAAAGTTAAGCGCTGATTCAGCAAATGAATGAATGAATGAATGGCCAAGTTGGTATCCCATGTAAGAAAGCTAAAACCCTCATGATTCTCTTTAATGATGCAATGTCATTCCTAACTCTGGCTTTCTCATTTACCCTATGTTAATCTTATAATTTTGCACATGTTTTAGTAACTCCCCAAAATCTTGTTTTAAAACAAAGTATAAAAAACCTAAGTACTTGACATTTATAAAACCTTTACAATGTGATGTTCAACCCAGTACACACTTCATCTCATTTAATCTTCACAATAACCTCATCAGATATTTACAATTTCTGTCTCCATTTAAAGATGACTAAATTGAGGGACTTCTGCAGTGGCACAGTGGTTAGGAATCTACCTGCCAATGCAGGGGACACGGGTTCGAGCCCTGGTCTGGGAAGATCCCACATGCCGCGGAGCAACTAAGCCCGTGCGCCACAACTACTGAGCCTGTGCTCTAGAGCCTGTGAGCCACAACAACTGAGCCCACGTGCCACAACTACTGAAGCCTGCATGCCTAGAGCCGGTGCTCCACAACAAGAGAAGCCACCGCAATGAGAAGGCCACGCACTGCAATGAAGAGTAGCCCCCGCTCGCCAAAACTAGAGAAAGCCCACGTGCAGCAACAGAGACGCAATGCAGCCAAATATATATTAATTAATTAATTAATTTAAAGAAAATTAAAAAATAAAGATGACTAAATTGAGACTCAGTGATGTCAAACAGCTTGTACAAGCAAAGAAATAGATAAAACCTATCGCTGGCATGATCCTTATGCTAGAAATCTGACCATGAATACTTTCCCTTCAGCAAACACTGGAAGGTGCCCCTCTGACTGATGAGAAAAGAAAACTGATGTGAGTGCACAGCTGGCATGATGGATACAAAGACAGGCCAACTGCATGATTTCTGATCACAATCTGCCAGAAGGAAGATGAATTCCTGAGGACAGTTTCTCTGAAACAGATGGGCACAGGCTCTCTTGAGCAGCCACATGGTTTAAGTGTGTCAGAAGTCAGTACAGACCACTCCAGAGAAAGATGGTGATTTCCAGAAATAGCCCAGTGACTAATTCCAGGACTAAATTAATTTCATATCCAAAGGAAGGTCAGTGCCAGAGGCCCAGAGCACTGCACTGAAGTACCCAACATGGATGTGGTCCCTGCTCACCACGAGTTACTCAGGGAGGGGCAGCTGGTGGCTCAGATAGTCCTGGTTTATCTCTGCTGTTTGATAGTTTAAGTCCACAATTTTAAATTTTATAATTTTCTCAATAGATAAAAAATAGTTTTGATTTTTAAAAACTGTATCCATTTATGTAACTTAGTTTCTGGCTGACCACAGGAGATACAAAGGAATATAAGACAATGACTGTTCTCAAGGATCTTACAAGTCTAGTGGGGCAGATGACGTATACCAGAGGGTCCTGAAAGTTGAGTCACGGAGCTTGGGCTTTACCTCTGAGCCCATCAGGGATGTGGTCAGATGTGTAAAGGCCACTCTGGCTACACTAGGGAGGATACATCCACTGGGGAGGATATATTCAGGGCACTAAGCCTGTGCGCCACAACTACTGATGCCTGCGCACCTAGAGCCCATGCTCTGCAACAGAGAAGCCACCGCAATGAGAAGCCCACGCACTACAATGAAGAGTAGCCCCCATTCGCTGCAACTAGAGAAAGCCCACATGCAGCAATGAAGACCTAACGCAGCCAAAAATAAAAATTAAAAAAACCCCACAACTACCAGATGGATAGAAGCACCGAGACATGGTAATTGATCAAGGATGAGGGGTCACGCTGCCGTGACCGCTGGCATGGGGGTCGGTGGTGTTGCCCACTGAGGCAGGGACTGCGGGAAGGGCAGGGGTGAGGCAGAGAATGATTCCACTTTGAGATGTCTGTGGAAACTCTGAAGCCAACATAGGAACCAAGAGCCTCCCACTAAAAGAAATACACCAAATTTGAAATCATCCATCCAGTGCTTTTTTACTGAGCACTTACTATGTGCCAGGCAGTATGCTAAGAGCTAGGGTTTTATCAGAAAATGATATGCAGCTCTGTCCTCAAGGAGCTTATGGTCCAGTGGGATCTAGAACAAGTCTTTTTTTTTTTTTTGGCTGCACCATGCAGCATACAGGATCTTAGTTCCCCGACCAGGGATCGAACTGGGGCCCCCTGCATTGGGAGCGCAGAGTCTCAACCACTGCACCACCGGGGAAGTCCCTAGAACAAGTCTTAAAGAAGTTTTGGGACTCTGTGGAAAATCTATTAAATTACTCTTCTTTGTGTATTTTCACGAGAATTGTACCAAAGAGAGGAAAAGCTCATTGCAGCCAGTCTGTGCCCTTTCCCTCAGCCCCCTCAGCTGTCCCCTCCATCCTGGGCACAAACCCTGACCCCAGATGCCACCTCTGGACCCTTGCAGACCTGCTCCCTGTGTAGAGCTCCCATATGCCAGGCTCAGAGTGGCTGCTTGTGTAATACTGTCTCCTTCAATCCTCACAACAGACTTCTTCCCTCCCTTTCCCAATGAAGAAATTCAACAGGTGAGCAGTTTCCCTAATGTTGTTGCTTGCAGCCTGAGCCAAGATTAACAAAGATCTGTCTGACCCCAGAGCCTGATAAAGTCAGTGGGTGGAAAAGAAATGGCATTACTTTTTGGCCTGAGCAGTAGGGGTCCGGCCTGGGGCCCCATTCTTTAAAGCAGCGGTCCCCAACCTTTTTGCCACCGGGGACCGGTTTCGTGGAAGTCAATTTTTCCATGGACAAGGAGTCAGGCGGGGGGGATGGATCACTGTAACGCGAGCGATGGGGAGCAATAGGGAGTGGCAGATGAAGCTTCGCTCGCCCGCCCGCCTGCATGCCACTGCGCCACCTGGTTCCTAACAGGCCTCGGACCAGTACCTTTAAAGGCCCCCACTCTGACTCCCCTCCAGCCCTAGCCCATGAGGCCAAGGGAACATGCTCCCCCAAAACCCCATGCCCTGCTCTAGACTATGCTCTGAGTGCCCGGGACCCCCAAATTCTCTGTGGACTGGCTCTAGAGGCTGCCTGGGCCTCTTGCCAGGTCTGTCTTCCTGAGAACGGTGTTGATGTGCTGCCCCTAGACCGACAGGTGGCCCAGGAGGAGCTATTTGTGAGGGTGAGGTGAATGGAGCTTGGAGGTGTGGGCAGATTGTCCACTCATGTGTGTGAAAGGCCCCCTGTGGCTTGGGGTGGACTCAAGGCTGGGAATAGAAGGGGGCAGGCCATGGATGGGGGACCAGTGATCAAATGTCCCCATGCCACTATGTTCCAAGGCCATTCTGACACACGTGCAAACCCAAAGTGCTAGAGAGTTAACTCCCCTTGGGCAACCCATGACTAACAGAACCTGGAACCATGGGTAAATATTCCCCTTTTCTGTCCCCTCAGGAAGATAATTCAGACATATATTCTATATGGCTCTTTGGAGAAGCCCTAGAAGGATCAAACGACTTGCCCAGAGTGGTGATTAGTTTGATAATGTACACTTGGGGTGGTTTCCCCTGCTTCCCTTGTTTTCTCTTCCAAGACCCCTACTTCTCTTCTTTGGAACCATTCCCCAAAAAAGTTGCCTGCCAGCATGCTGTTACCCAAAAAATTCTTTTTTTTTTTTAATGGTGGGAGGAGGGGATTACCTCAGCTAGGGGAATGCTTTTTAGTTATTTAGACATGGTAAGTGGGCCCTGTGCACTCCTGACCCAGGTCCCTCAAGGGTTAGAAGTAACCTAATTTCCTTCTTAATTCTGTGTTCTTTATCCAGGAGAATGAGGTTGGGTAGGACAGGGCAAAATGTACATCATTAAAGGAAAATGTTAGTTTAAGATAAATCATTAAGATCTTTTTTCCCCTAATTGTTTCATAAATGTCATAAGGGTTGTCTTAAAAAAATTACTTAAAAGAATCAGGACACAAACAAAGTCTATATACTCTGACTGGTTGATGTATCTCACTGGTATTTTTAAATCTAAAGTTTCTATGCGTTTCTCTTCTTTCTCTTTACGGAAGAGACATAATTGTTTGTACTATAGAATTTCCCACATTATGGATTTTTGCCAATTCCAACTCTACAATGTTTCCTGTAAATTAGAAGTTGTACTCAGGGCTTGTTCAAATTTGGGTTCCATATTTTCTTGGGTGATTTTAGCAGCCATTGGTGATCACTGACTGGATCTGTTGATTTATTAGGAGTTACAAATTGGTGATATTCTATCATTCCACCTTCATCAGTTAGCTGAAATATTCTTAGAAAAGAAAATCTGACTTATTATTTGGCTGCTCAGTGGTATGGTTCATACAGGAAAGGCAGAATAAACACTTAATTCTTTCCCTTTATTTACTAGCTTGTAAGCCATGACATCCTAAGTGATTCCCCAACCGCCAGAGTGTTTTCACATCTCCCGGCCCCATAAACTCTAGGAGAACTCACAAATGAGATGATGAAAGTACAACAGATGATCCTGAGGCTCTGTTGAAAATGGAAACTGCCATCCAGCCAGGGCCCCCTGAGTGTGAGGCACTTGCA